GTTGTGCTACCAGCGTGTTCGCCATTTATTCGTGATTTTTCAATGCTGATAGCATAGTGATAATTCGATAATAATTACAATCGAGATTACAATTATAAAATGAGGTATTCAAAGATTCTTCCCCTGTTGGAGTGAAAATAGCGCGTAAAGTTCAACAGCGGAAGTTAAAAACGCAAGCCTGCTCAATTCTAACCATAACTTGAGCTCTTCTATTAATTTTAATAGACCATGCTCATACCATTTTTCCAGAACATTTCCGAAAGAACAGGTCTCTGCATTCAGGGCTATTCTCGGGGCTATTTGACAAAATTCTGGGACTTTCCGCTTTATATAGTAACGCCAACTGCAGTGACGGGAAATGTTAGCCCTAACTGAGCTATTCATAACCTTAACCTTTTCGACGTAGTGGGCGGATTAAAACTAAATCGGTGATACTGAAATTGAGTTTCACTTTGATCAGATCAATCATAGGGTTCAGAACTGAAGAAGAAATCGTGGAACAATTCATTCGAAACTAACTTTGACAGTATCGTTGCTGATATAAGAACACAAATTGCCTCACCATTTTCCTCGAATATTTCTTGCATGTTTTGGTTGAAAATCATGAGAAAACTTGACATAGTCTCCATATAATATGTGATATCAGATGGCCATATGACAATTCCGAAATGAAAATTAGCTAAGTCGTATTTTTTTATTGAGAGTCCAACTATCCCCCAGAAAGTGCGGGGAAGTTGTAAATTCAGACATTCATATTGTAGTTGTAAGAAAACAATTTTTGGTTATTTGTTATCCGAAGAAAACTCGAAATAAATGAATGAATATTCCATCTATATTCTAATAATTTTATTCAGAAGAAAAAATATAAATCACTAGTCTTCCTCACATAATGAAATCCATGTATTGTCAAAACAATATAATAAAGGTACAAACAGAAAAAAACAAAAAAAATTACACATACAGGGTGTCTGTAAAAGGTTGGGACATGGCTCGGCTGTGGACTCCTGGGAGGATGAAAACTAGTTGATTAGGGCCAACTTACCTATATCCAAAATCGTCTTGTTAAGTTGGTACAAGACGTTGAAGTTTTTTTGGAAACAAATAATTTTGTTTATAAAAAGAGTAGGCTGGGATCGATTCTCATAATTTTTGGCATGGCATGTTCTGTGACTGTAAGTCACGTTTTGATATGTTTTTGATCCTCATCAGTGACCTGCAAGTGTTACAAACAACCATGTTGCCGTACCAATTTGGTGAGGACAGACTACAGACTGGAAACTTCCAGTTTTTTTCCATGAAGATATTCCCTTCAGAAATATTTTTTGTATCGTGTCAATTTTTGATAAGTCTCGAGGTAAATTTGCAAATGAATAATTTTCGATCTGAGGCATCTGATGCATTTGAAAAAAAATAATCTGGTTGGGACATGGCTTGACTGTTATTGACTCCTGGGATGAAAATAAAGTGATTTTAGCCAACTTACTTATATCCCAAATCGTTTCGTTGAGTTGGTACAAGGCGTTAGAGTTCTCACCTTAGGTCCTGAATAGTTATCACTAAATTTGTAACGCGTGAGTTCTTGTAAAGCCCGCGAGGACCAGCAACATATCAGTTTGTTCACAGTAAGAGTACATTGTAGCCATGATCAATAAACATTCCGACTAATTAGATCAATTTTCAAAAATGCGTAGGATGCATCAGATCAGAAATTATTTATTTGCAAATGAACCTCGATACTCATCAAAAATTAACACATCTTTCTGAAAAAATAAAAACTGGAAGTTTTCAGTGTGACTTCTGAGAAGTAATCACCAAATTTGTACTGCAACATGGTTGTTTGAAACACTTGCAGGTCACTGATGATGATCAAAAACATCTCAAAACGTGACCTATAGTCACAGAACAAGCCATGCCAAAAATTATGAAAATCGATCTCAGCCTACTCTTTTTATGAGCAAAATTATTTTTTTCCAAAAAAACTTCAACGCCTTGTACCAACTCAACGAGACGATTCTGGGTAAGCTGGCCTGAATCAACTTGTTTTTATCCCAGGAGTCCACAGCCGAGCCATGTCCTAACCTTTTACAGACACCCTGTATATACCATATCGGCAGTGTCCAACTCTCCCCGGAAATGAGCAAAATATCATTGTTACGCCACTGCAATCGACAAATATTGCAACACGAAAATTAATTAAAGAAAATATATTGCATAATGAGCCAACATCTCGCAAAAAGTATAGATGTTCTACAACGAACCATATTCCTTGTATACTAGCTATGAGATCGACATGAAAATAATGAAAATCCGCTATGTTCGAATGTAAATAAAAATGTCTCACCAGTATCGACGCAAGCCACTCTGGATAAAATGAGACACTAGATTTGTGAAAAAACAAATGCTGAAACTGCCGCGTCTCAAAGTTGACCCCATTACAAACAAATAATACCTGTTAAAATAATTGCGGTTTTGTCCAACTCCGTCCTCACTGTCCAATAACACCCCACTCCGGTACCTACTATGACTATGACTGTTGGGTAATCAAAAACGTAAGAAATATTAATTTCTTCAGGTTTTTGAGATTTTCTCTCCCCGTCACTATAAAGAAAAAAAATAACTGAAGTGAGGATTTTTCTATTAGAAACTAAGAAAGAAAATGCGATCGCTAGATAGTGACGGGGATGAATATGCTCCCGTTTCCACTATAAAGATGGGAATTAATTCTTTATGATTATGTCTAAACAAAAATAATGACGACTGCTGAAGCATTTCAGGTTGAATTTGCGATGCATGATAGGAAGGCATTCAGAAACCATACTATACTACGAAGAGGGCGAATCGATGCTGAATCACGTGACCCGTTCGACCTCCGGTGAACCCGCAATGCAACGATCTATATTCATTTTCGTAACGGGCGACTTGCGGGCAACATATGCGAAAAATGGCCCTCCAACGGCTCCAACTCCAGATGGTGGAGTGAAATATTCATTTCAATTAGACTTCATTTGAATCGAGATTTGAAGTACGTTTGAATACTGAATGGATATTTTTTTTTAGGGTTCCGTACCAAAAGCTCTATTGTTCTTGCCACATATAAGATTCTTTACAAATAAAATGTTTATGTGAATTCGTTATTTTGTGCATGGCTGTACAAACAGTTTGTTACCTATACATATATTCACATAGAACGGTGAAAGCTTTCAAAAGGTTAGAAAAATATAGTGAAATATATTGTGATCCATTTGTAATGGATTCCTCACTGAACTGATGTTAAAAATAGACGGAATAATAATCAAGAAGTGTTCATAATTCCGAAATGATTGCCTTTTGTGTAAAACAATCCATCGAACTTGTAACTCGTAATGCAATGATCCTATTAAGGAAAATAATATTTTTTTACGTTTCAAGTTACGAAGGGGGCGACATATTTTTGGTCCTCACATATAATACATTATAGACAAAATGGTACCAGAAACTATAATCTTCAAAAATACCTTCAGTATAACAATAATAATGATAATAATAATCAAGACCTACCCATAACTAGCATTGAAGGTGCCGCAGAGTTAGGCTCGAGTTTTAGTTCAATTATTTTATGACGAAATTAACTATTTATCAATGTTCATTGATTCGTTCATTGATTCGTTGTTGACATTTCATGGATTTGATGATACATGTTCTTATCTTCAAATCGAATTTGATTCCAGATTTTATTATTGTGACGTGGAAATCAACTTATAGTCAAAGATGACTCCTAAGTATTTTGCCTCTAGGGCGAACGGAATTTCTACCTCGTTGAGTACTGGTGACTTTAATCCTTCCAGTACTCTCTTTTTCGTGAAATTCACTATAGAGGTTCTATGAGGGTTCACGGTGAGTTCCTCCTCTTTACACCACTTGTCAATTATGTTTAGAGCGGTTTGTGTGAGCTCCGAGACCGTACATGCGAATCTACCTTTAGCGATAACCGCCAGAGGTCGTCGGCGTATCCTAAGCAATAATACCCTTTGAATGTTAGCCTTTTGATCAGTTCATCCTTTAGAATGGCTCATAGTAGGGGCGATGATACTCCTCCCTGTGAGCATTCCCTATCTGCTCTAGCTGTCAGAGGGGTCTCGCCAATTGTTGATATGATAACCCTATATTTCAAATTGACATTTATCCACTGGCACAGGAGTAGTGGTACTCCTTTCTTTGCTAGGGCGTTAATTATAGAATTTGTTGGGGCGTTGTTGAAAGCACATGTCTACGAATGTTGTTTTAGCTATTTCTTTGTCCTCTATCGACTTTGCGAGTAGCCTGTTCAGATCATCCAGTGCTAAGTCAGTTGACTTGCCTGTCTGATTAGCATATTGGCGTTCGTTGAGAGGGTTTCTTTGTAATACCTCGTCTCTTATGTATCTGTCTATCAGTCTTTCCAGTGTTTTGAGCGGGAACGAAATCAAACTTATTGAGCGGTATGATTTAGGCGTTTTGTCACTTACCCGAGCACTTACTTTTCCCACCTTGGGTAGGTAGATGACTGTCACCTTCTGCTATACGATGGGTATATATCGTATTGCTATACAAGCCTTGAATATACGACACAGATGTGGAATTAGTATTTCCTGCCCCTTTTGAAGCAGGATGGGGTATTTTCCATCTACTCCAGGGGATTTATAAGGTTTGAATTCATCAATAGCCCACCTAATTCTGTTTGGCCTCGATATCTCTGTAATCCATGGCAGTTGGCCTATTCGGCCTGACCAATAACGAAACAGAATAATAGCTGACGTCACCATTTATTCGACGTATCGCCAAATAGTGGCCATGACAGTACGTTTGAAATGAGCTGCAAAGTTCAACAATTTCGAATAACGCATACACTCATTATTTACATAAAAAAAGTGTGAGAAGTAATTAAGGTCCCTAACGACACAGTGTAGTGAATGGATGCCAATAATTCATTATAAGTCCACACGCCCATTATCCTAATGTATTATTACCTCATTCTCTTCCAGGATCGACACGACGGGCCACTTCCCGTGCCTGCTGGCCGACCAGCGGCCGCTTCCAGTCCACCTGGCCTTCCGCGGGCTGTCGGCCAGCGCTGGGCCGCGGCCCATCTTGCGTGACGTCGACGGCCTCGTGCGGCCCGGCCAGGTGCTGGCCGTGATGGGGCCGAGCGGCTGCGGCAAGACCACGCTGCTCAACGCGCTCAGCGGGAGGCTCAAGCTGGACGCGGGACACATCTTCTTCAACAGGTAATACATTCTCTTTGGTGTTGGGCAATAACTCTGATATTATGCCTAGCGCCCTTCTATCAGGACACCGCGTAAAAAGTTTTCTGGTGCGTTATTTGGGTTTCTTCGTGGATTTTCTCAGAAAGATCATTCGTTATAGATAATTATCACCACAGCTGATCGGCAATACCTGAATACAGATTCAAATCAAGTATTTTATCCGAGTCTGATGAGTAGATTGATTTCAGTTTGGTTATGAGAGCATTTGATATGCATATTATGACTGAGATATTTATACTAAAGGAGCTAGCAAAGCTACTCACGAATTTCAACATAAGTTAAGGCTCATTTTGGGCTTATATATCATCCCATTCCTGAATTTTCTGCTCTTCTCTATCACAGAGAAATCTGTGGCTTTGCTAGCTTCGGCCCAGTTCAGCAAAGCCATTTTTGAAAATCAATATTTTTTGATTATTCGATGTAATGATATTGTAGGTCTTATTTCATGCTAATGTTGTTCTATATTTCCATATTTTGTATCCATCTTCTTCATAAGGAAATCGGTGGCTTTGGTAGCTTCGGGCGAACTCAGCAGAGCCATTTTATTGAAACATAGATTTTTCACCGATTTGATATATTGGGATTAAATTGCTAATTTCAGGCTTATTGATTGTACTATTATCAACATTTTTGCCCAACGTTTCGAATTGTTCTTAAATTTGTTCTTATCCATCATTCGGTTGCCCCCTTACGAGCAACCCTCAGAAGTCTTCAAGAGACTTGTGCGAGCAAGGCATGACGGGTGTCTTACATTTTAACGTGTGATCCCACTTTTTTATGCCATCAGACAAATTTCTGCGGTCGTGGTGGGACTCGAACCAACTACCGGTAATCCAACGTGGATAGAACATTGACGCTCTAACCACCAGGCTACGCTGGCCCCTGTGCATTTTTATCGAAAGCATATTTTATGACAATTTTATGAGGTATGATATCGTCATGTTTTATGCTTTTGATAGAAATGCATAATGTATAGTGAATAACGCGTACCTATTTCGACTAATCGTTCAGTTTTATTTTTTGTTTGAAACTTTGAGCAAAAAAATCGAAAATAGGGTGAAATTAGCCATTCAATACCAATGTACAGGGTGATCCACGGTGGATGGCCTATTAGAAGTATCTGGAGAACGAAAAGACAGAACATTCTGAAAATTGGGAAGCTCTGATAATTGAACATTCTCTATCCGTCTGAAATATTTTCATCGATTCAGTGTTGCCACCTCTATCAGAAACAACTAGCAACTTCGTTATTTTGAATGGAGCACCCCGTATTTTATTGCATTTTCGCTAATTTCATCAATTTATCACACTTGGGGTCTAACAGGAATGATTACAGAAATAAAGGGTGTTCAAAATCGAGGTTTTTTCAATTTTTGTATTTTTTTGTGTCCAAACTATTCATCATCGATCAGAACGGCTCACATGTCCCTATCTCAACTTTTGATTTACCATCTACTGACATTGAATTGAAACAAATACAGGGTGATCAAAATTCTGAATCTTATGAAGCAACCTGTATTTTTTCCAATCAAATTCCAGTAGATTGTGAATCAAAAGTTAGGAAGGGACATGTAAGCCGTTTTGATCAGTAATGAATAGTTACGACCGAGGTTACGACACAAAAAATCCTAATATTGAAAAATCTTGATTTTGAACACCCTATATCATTCCTGCTAGGCCCCAAGTGTGATACATTGATCAAACCAGCTCTTCAGGAAGAATCTGAAAATGCAATAAAATTCAGGGTGTTCCGTTTGAAATAACAAAGTTGCTAGTTGTTTCGGATAGAAGTGGCAACACTGTATCGATGAAAATAATTCAGACGAATAGGGAATGTTCAATTTTCAAAGCATCCCAATTTTCAGAATGTTCTGTCTCTCCGTTCTTCAGATACTTCTAATAGGCCATTCACCGTGGATCACCCTGTATAAAATCAGTGAGGAATATAATGTTTCCAAGAATAGCTCTGCTGAGTTCGCCCGGAGCTAGCAAAGCCACAGGATCTTTTGAAAAATATACAGTGAAAAATTCCAAAATGGAACAGTTATTGAGCATGCCATGAATACAAACAGTTGCCTCATAAAATCGTCATAAAATATGTTTTCGATAGGAATGCATGATATATAGTGATTTAACGTGTATTTCGACAAATCGTTTCTTTTTTTGTTCGAATTTTTGAGTAAAATATTCGAAAATAGGGTAATAATTAGCCATTTAATCCCAATATATCAAATCAGTGAAAAATATATTCTTATCAAAAAGGCTCAGCTGAGTTCGCCCGAAGCCTAGCGAAGAAGCCACAGGTTTCTTTTAAAAATTATACAGCAAATATTCTGCAGATTTCAAGAATCCATACTTTCTTGTATCTTCTTCAAAAAAGAAGATATTGAGGTGAATCAGAAACCATTGTTTGCACAGCGTGTTAAAAAGTTGAGCGTAAAATAGTAACTTTTATTTTGCTCTGTATAATGATCAACCCATGAGCTTCGTTTGGAAACAAGAGTCCAGCTTGACTGTTAGAAACATAAATCTATAATTTGTTCGGAATTTCAGAAAAATCGGACAAGAAATGGAAAAGTTTGTTTTGATGGCCGGTTTTTTTTTTCGGTGAGTGTATACCGTTCCTCTAATGACCACCGGCGGTAACATTGATACACGAGACAGAACAGTGGAATTATCAAGAAAAGCAGTGAGAAAAATTCGTGCAAAATTGTTTGGGAGTAAAAAGAAATGTTCTTGAATAGGAGAACCCCAAATCGAATCATGCATGAGTAACCTGTGCAAACAATTGAATTTCCGAAATTGCATATGCCTGAATGTCCATATTGTGATATAATTACTTCAAACAGAGCTGAGAGCGAGCAATCCCAGGTAGAACATCATATTGGCTAGAACTTGGTTTCATATTAGCCCAATATTCGAATATTGAATATGGAATTACTAGATTGCACCAATATCAAACCAATTTTTCATTTCAATATTCGATCATCAATCCATTGCCAATATTTTAATGACATTGAAATTTTGTGACCAGCCGATATCAATTTGTCAATATTTATTTGATATTGGAGGAATATTAACGATCACAATATGTCAATTTTCATGATGGGCTGATATTGCATTTCCAATATCAAATCGATCTTGGAAAAAAATATTGACTCAATATGCAATTTATGATGGTTAGTGAATATTGCATTTCATTGTCCAGCAATGTTGTAATAACATTGAAATTTTGTTTCCAGTCGATATTTATTTACCAATATCTATTCGATATTGGTGAATATTGAATCAATCATGGAAAAAAATATTGCATCAGTATCAGATTTATGATGGTTGGTGAATATTGCTCTTCGTTGTCCAGCAATATTGCACTGATATTGGTGATTCAATATCATTTCGATATTCAATAATCAATCCAGTGCCAATGTTGTAATAACATTGAAATTTTGTGACCAGCCGATATCAGTTTGCCAATATTTATTTGATATTGGCGAAATATTAACGAATACAATATGTCAATTTTCATGATGGGCTGATATTGTATTCCCAATATCGAATCAATCTTGGAAAACATATTGTATAAATATTTTGTATTTTTATTCAGCCAATATTAGTTCATCAATATGCGACCCATTTCAGATAGATATAACTAATGAAATATGCCAGAACCAATATTGCACTGACATTGGATTTCTAATATCGAATCGATATTCGTGATATTTCTCTTAGTATTTGAGCTACGTTATAACAGCTGGCGCCACTAGCACGCCTCCAACAAACGACTGCTGAGAGACATCAAATACCGCATTCGTTCAACTTGCAAACTAAGTATTCTGGGATACAGGAAACGAAAATGGATTTGATATTGTACAAATATCGCAATTTTTTAATGAGGCTAATATGGCTTCGAATTTTGATTTCGAGTTATGTTGAAAAACGAAATTCAATATTGGTTGAATATTATAATTCAACATGAAGATAATATTGCAAAATAATCACATCCTCATTTTAGCCAATATAGTAGGGGAATATGAATTCAATATCGATTTCACATATGAAAACTATAAGAAAAGAGTTTTCTATAAGTTGGCATCATATATTTGTCCAATCTTGTATACGAATATCAACTCGATATTGGATAGAGCATATCGAAAAAAGATTGAAATTCAACATAGCACCAAGATTCCAGAATGTTCACATTGATTTATTGACCCAATAATTAAAATTAATATTTTCCCAACATTCACCATTTATTGACTCAATATTGAACCAATATTAGTGTTCTACCTGGATGTTATTTTTCATGTCATCAAAATGAAATGGAATGGAACTATACCTGCAACAGGATTGAAACAATCCGAAGATCTCAATTTAAATGAGTACGTAAATATATCTATAGTGTGCAGAGCTTCGAATCAAGCGTTTCTGGTAGCGTGGTAGCGCTTATATTATTTCATTCATCAAATTCATCTCAGTTGTCTTCGTATTAGGCGACTCTCACCTGTTTCAGAACATTGAATAGTTACAAAATGTATGTTGTATCATCTTCGACTCTTTTTTATATTTTGCAGAGAACCGCTGTGCAAAAGATGGAAACGTAAGATCTGCTATGTCCTCCAACAAGACATTTTCTTCCCTGACCTCACTCTGAGACAAACCCTAGAGTACACAGCAAGACTGAGATTACCTGACACAATGAGTTATTCGCAAAAGATGCAGTACGTGGACCACATCATTGACGTTTTAGAATTGACAAATTGTCAAGATACCATCATCGGGGACTATATCAAGAGGGGATTGAGCGGTGGTGAGAAGAAGAGGGCGAATATCGCCTGCGAGCTATTGACGAATCCCTCATTGATGTTGTTAGATGTAAGTACAGACATCAGATCATTGTTCTGTATCTTCCTGTTATGTTGATGAGTGGGCCAAGAGATCATCGACAAACAAGAAACGATAATTAATGATATGTCTTTTCGATATAATCAAATATCAATTATATGTATACGGCTGTTAAAAGCTAGAATGTATCAAGGTATTGTGGATAAAGGCATCAAATTTGGCACCATTGTGTTTCACTTCACTATGGTCGCCACTGGCCAGACTGCCAGACGTGGCCAGACGTATGATAGCTGAATCAGTTTCTCTTGTTATGTGGCCAGTTGCATGCCCTTTGTGTAACGATAGTTCAAACAACCTGTATAATTTGAGTGAGCTTCAAAATACTGAATTCGAAGAGCATAGGTAGGTACCTAATCGATGAATAATCTAAGAAGTATTAGATTATTCTCTAACTCTTCAAACAATATACCTATAACAGAATCATAATTCAATATTAATTTCATTTTATATACCATACATCTGCAAGAAATTCCTATTCTGAATCAGCATGTAGGTAATTGATATTTTCAAACTGGATCAGAGATATTTTTATGGACAAATTTCCTTGTTTACCTGACGAGTAAGAAACCTCACTTTTATTAATTTCCAAATGCGTATTTAACTATTTCCAATTTTCGATTTCATGATAATGTCTCTTTTCAAAACCAAGAGTTGATTAACGAGTATCAAGTCTCAAATTTGAATTTAACTATTAAAAAAATTTGGAACAAATTTTTCAAGAGTTAAAAATTTTTCCAATTTTCCCCAAAGTTTTACAACAGCTACAAGCAGATTACCTACTTACAGGTTGATGATGACTTAACAATCGAAAGCGCTCTGGCACGAGTAATTGAATAAATTATCTTGCACGAAATTTAACATTGCCCTTTATTGGTATTGTTATATTAGGCATACTGAGTTCGGCCTTTCTAGAGAAAATACAGACTCGAGTTTTACTGATGTGAAATTCGACTAAGTTGTTGGTTCCCTAGGCTGTGATTTTAGCAAGGTATTCATTGACATAAGTGACCTGTCTTCACCGTTGGTTCCTATAGCTTCCTGGGAAGAAATGGGAATTCTAAAAGAGAAGGCACTATAGAGAGTGGATAGGGCAAGTTGTTACTCCCAACATATCATCGATATGAAGTAGGAACAACCCAGTTAACACAGATTGATCCCAGAGATATTAGAGGTCATCACATTCATGCCACATATCACACCCTTGACTCGAAATGAGAGTCCCACTCACAATGAATGCTATTATGGACCCTTTTGGTCATTCTATGATTCTTATTATGATGAAAAATCAAACACACAGCACGTATTATGCGACTCCTCATCCAACATCAGAATTGATTTATCCGGTTTGTTACATAAATAGACAACAATGTAAGGTTTCTGTGAGTCTCTTGGTTGTTAGGACAAATTCACCTACATTTTGAGTATCAAATCTAATGAAATGTGACGAATATTGCGAATGTTCTCTAAAATGAAGTGTCACCTGGCAATACCAATGATGTTTTCTTGTGATTCGCATTGTTACCTAGCGAGACATGAATGTGACATCCCAGGGAAGTTTGTGTTTACTGGAAATGTTGGTGCCAAAATTGATCTCGGAATTGATGAACCGTCCACTACCACGCGAAGCATCTCCATGAAAAAAAAACTCGATGAGACATATGACATAGCTGAGGTGGTAAACCGTATGAATCGTGTGATGGTAGTTTGTGGAGGGGTCCTTGGTGCCAAACACGGTCGATTGCTTTCGATATGTCTAACATTGTCAATCATTGATGATTCCTGAGTTTTCCAGATATCATTTGTTAAGCTTAGGGTTGATGGCTTCTACCATCACTTTGGTGATTACTGTTGTTGATTATTGAGCTATTTCAAGGAATTAGGAGTGTATGGCTTCTCTATTTAATGCGGGGAATGTCGAAGATGTCAAGACATCCTGAAATTTTTCTCTAACACAACCTACTGAGTATACATCATGGAAGTGACAAATGAAAAAAAAAACATAACGCGGCATTTTGTCTTGCTCAATGTTTGATCACTATTGAAACTGTCAATAAGTATTAGACGAATACAAAGTTTCTCCTTGACAGAATTTCAACGTTATTTACTCTGCATAAAATGTCTGTCCATCAGAACTCGTATGATAGCGTCTTTCTTTCCTTAGTTCGTAGTACTTTCATCAAACTCTTGGATACATTGTTTTTATAAATTGTATATTGTGTATTGTACCTACCTATAGAAATGAAAATTCTTGTGATTTGATGAATATGAGGCACTTGCATGCAGGCATCAAATGTTTGACGTGAAAGTTACAGAATTCGGGCCTGTATTCGTATCATTGACAAATCTAGAGAGCTCGCAAGATTAATTTATTTAGGTTTTAGAAATCAGAAATGTGTGACTACAAGTACAGTATGTGACCTAAATTGACACATAAAACAATAACAAAGTACCTACACGTGTTCGTTTTTTATGTTCAAAGCACGTCAGCATGGCGACATCAGCTTTTTCATGGCATGCCAAAAGCACTGAAACTTTAGAAATCGTGTGTATCTACTGAAATATTTTCATTTATGCATTGTGAAGATAATTTAAAATTTCAGTCCCGCACACGGCGTTCTACAGAAGTATATGCAACGAATGGGAAAGTTTTTTTAATTGAATAGTTACGAAAATAATTTACGACTTCAAAATCATTATTATAACTATATTTTAATAGGAACATACCTACATAAATCACAAAATAGATTGGATTGAGGTGAACAATACACATTTCTGTTCAAATCTTATACAAGATGATTTGATACAACTCTGATAATCATGAAAGAATTATAATGAAATGATACTTAGGTTATTTATGAATCGGAGGGAGTAAGTATAAATAAAATAAACCGGTAGTTACGGCCGAGATACTTAAATAACATTCCATGAATAATCGTTTTAGACATTAATCCACAATCACCTCATAATCAAAGTTTCATCCACATTTATGAACCATATGAAGTTTCAGTTTATCCAATAGTGGAATAATGGAATTACTTCATTTTACTAGTGGAATAATGAAGGATATAATATTGAATCAATCTCATTTACTATAAATATCAACATTAACATTCCTCCAGTAGTACATAATCATGGCTGGGCATTGGCCCTATGTTGGCCCAATATTTCCGATATTGGGCCAATACTTTCGATATTGAGCCAATATGGAGACAATATCCTGCCAAGATTCGTGCTACTGAGGTTACGTTGATATACATTTCGTTCTTTCTTAACTGTTATATCATGTTTCACTTCGTAATCATTAATAATAATAAGCTTGTAATTCAGATCTTATAGAGCCTGTCGATGTTTACAATTAATGGGCTGTCACTTTTAGAGCGATGCCACCCCAGTGAACTATCGTTGGCTTGATATTGGCATTTTTCAATGGTGAATCATGAAAGTTGCTCACTCTGGCCGACTTAAGGCCAATATTGTCGAAACAGTGTACTTCCTTTTATACAGGGTGTCCCATAAGTAATCGATCAAAAGAAGTGGGGTGGTAGTGGGGGTCATTTCCAATCAAACCAACCGTATATGTGGTTATCCAATTTGTTGATGGATCAAAAGTTATTAATGTTTTCTTATGCCTTGAAAAAATACAATAAAACTATGTCACATTTGTGATTTTTTATTTTACAAATTTCATCCACATGGATGCACCTTTCCCCAGCAATAATTTTATGACATGTATTACTTTTTATCAATTACCTAATACAAATTTTGTTTTCCTTGAGTTTTGCCATCGAATGAAATATTTGAGTCGATTCTTAAACGCTGCTGGCAGATTTCAAAACTACCCCACAAAGATAACCAATCATGAGAATAAGTTGCCCATTTGATACACATTCTGGAATGGTATAACATATGGGGTTATTAACGACAGCCCTTTTGTTATTATTTTTTTTAATGGGTTGCATTTGTCAGAAAAATTGAATAACTTTTGAACCATCAAATGTTTGATAAAAACATTATTTGATTACAAATTACTCCCCCTACCACCCCACTTCTTTTGATCCATAACTTATAGAACACCCTGTATATATCAGTTCACCAATAATAAAAATGGATTCTTCAAAATACTGTCTTGGAGTGTACCTGCCGATTGTTATTTTTCATCTTCACCACCTTGTGTTCCAAAAACGAAGCAATTTCGATCTGAAGTAAGTTGCTTCAAATCGGCTTATTTTGACCTCAGGACTATGTGCGGAGATTTTGTACAGACCTTTTAGGGACACCCTGTATATTCATTCTTATATCTCAGAAACTGTACATTTGGCAACGTCCAAACGAAATTTTGTTATTGTGTTGAAGATATCTCCATGTTTCCATTCTTTACGCGAGCAATGTATAAACGAATGAAAATGGACTTGAATCATTATTACTTCCGAAATTTTACTATACCGGGTGTCCCAGTATACCTGTTCCAATGAATCATCTCAGCCATTTCGAAAAATGAAAATTCGAAAATTTCATGATCTCCAATTCCGGAAGTGACTCTAACTTTTTTATTACAAATAGCCCCCTGTATAGTTTTTGCAATTTTTGATTCCAACGATGTATCACACTTCGTATTTTGAATTTGATTTGATGGAGAAAACGACAATTGAAATTTCAAATTGAACGAATTGCAGTTGGCTACGATATTTTATAAACTATACAAATTTCTCGTATTCAAGTTATATACTGTTACGTAAATTTAGTGCTAATACGCCACTGGCGAACACTCAGTGTTCTTATTCTTGGACTCGGTGTGGTGAGGTGGTCCTGTCAACCGGGGTGACGATGACATGAAACAATGCACCTTATCTGCAGGGAACCGTAAACATGGCTGAAGCCACATGCAGAAAAGGGGGCGAAATTATGAATCCAAAAACCAGATATTCTTCAGTACCAATTGGGATTATGCCGAGTTCTGATCTTCAATTGAT